TCTACATGAGTATGACTATTTTCATACTTATTCACAGTGATGGAATTTTTACAGTTCAAAAATTAATAATTAAGCTTTATTATGCCGAAAAGTACATGTTGTATAAATATTTATTATGTTATATATTTTATTTATATAAAGTCTGGAAGATTATATTACACTAAAAGTGAGATACGTAATAAGATACTATATGTTATATGCTATGAGATATTCCTTAATTCCCAAACTGTGGGTTGAGAATCGGTATTTGTTGAGTCATGCAAATTTTTGAAAGTTTGTTTCGATACAATATAATTTATTATATTTTGTGTATTATTAAGTTTATTATATTTTTATATTGATGTTTGTTTATATTCTGAGAAATACAAGTAGCATTCAAAGTACTGTTAAAGAGGTGGTCGACGCAATATTTGTACGACGCAATATTCATATTATTATTTATTCACTGCATTATATTCTAGGATTCTTCCACTCTTCCATGCAAAATATCTATGTGTATATGTGTCAAAATAAGCTTCTGTGTGTTGCTATCAATTGGGCAAGCAAGCTTTAAGGAGATAGCAACTACGTTAAATTTAAACTCTTTGTTAAATGTCTAATTTGCAAGCCCCTTGTTCTTTTGCATGCTTGTTTATTTAATATTTTGACTTGTAATAGTTATTCAGTTCATGAAAATTAGGATTTTTGTCTATTTTCATTTAAATTTGGTTTAGTGCATTGTAGATAACTTAAAATTTAAGCAGATGTTAGAAAACACCATCCGTTGGCGCACCATCGTGTTAGCTACCAAATTGTTAAAAAAGCTGATATGATGAAATCCTGTTGTTTAATTTCCCAATAAAAGATATCAGTAAATAAATTATTTTAACATTTGCATTGAGGTCATTAAACCTCATTTTAAAATTACCCATTACATTTGTAAGGATTATGTTAATTTTATTAACAGTTAAATTTTGAGTTAAATTTCCTTTTTTATCGCTTCTTAATTTCAACTTACCACTTCCGGCTAGAACGTAGTTTTAGAAGCGGATGAGGAAGAGCGGTATTTAACTGCGAAGTTCTACTGTCTTAGTAAGAGAGATACCGATATTCTGGCAAGCACGCGTCCGCCTTTTTAGGCTACTCTCTCGTAAGCTATTATTACGCTGGGCCGTACTTTAGGCCCTTAATAGCTTCGCAGTCAATTAGCGTTAAGGGGCCAACTCTGTTAGAATTTTGATAGCTTCGGCTATATCTCTTTAGTTAAGATTAGTTAAGTTTAATTCTTAATTTCCTAAGTTGAAGCCCGAGTGTCGGCTTTATTATACAACTCAAAGACGGAGTTTTGTTAAATTTTAATTGGAATAATAAAGGGTTATTTTACCCTTATCACTTGTTGTTTTCTACCTCACGAACTCAAGCGATTATTCGCTTACTAGTTCTTAAGATTCCTTACATTCATCTGTAACTTAGAAGTACACAGTGGGGGATCTCTACATTATGTAGTTTTTCAACAAATTGATTTTTATTTGAAAGGTTTTTTTTTTAAACTTTAAAATGCTGCCTTCTCGCACAATAATTTATATTTGCTGTTTCCTTTTTAAAGAGAAACATTTAATTAGAATTTGATATTTTGTTTTTATATGATAAAATGAGTCCTTTGTTAAAGATTTTATAGTTCACCACTGGCTGTAATGCTAAAATGTTTGAGAAATACAGTTTTTTATAGAACTATATTTTATGAGATACAATGCTATGTATACATGTATATATATATATGTATATATATATTTAACTGCTAAAGTTAATCAAATATATATATATATATATAATTTAAAGTTAAGTACTAAGAACAAACGAAAAAAGACCTATGTGGTCAAAAATTTTGCGCATTGTGCTGCAAAATTAAGGAAATTAGAAGATAAATTTAGTACGCACGCTAAAAAGTTACCAAAAACTGTGGCTCCGTGAAAACTTCAACATAAGCATATTTAGTTGCTATGAAATGTGTGAAAAAAGAGAAATATACAACATTTGAATATTTACAAGTAAAATTAATAAAAATAGTAAGCTATATGCTAAACGAATTAAGTAGATTTAAAACACAGTAAAAAACTAATCAATTGATCAAGGTAAAATAAAAATAGTAAGCTATATGCTAAACGTATTAAGTAGATTTAAAACACAGTAAAATACTAACCAATTGATCGAGGTAAAAATAAAAATAAAAATTAAGAAACGGTAAATTGTAATTAGCCCAATTCGAAGTTCCTTTTGGATTGTCAAGGGAAATTTTTTTTAAATGAATTTCGAACTAAGCCAACTCCATGCGTTTCGCCGAAACAGACAATTGAAACTGTGCGCGACAAATTTTTCAATGATTTAAATAAACTATGTCAAAAACTTTAGTCTCAATTCTCCGTTCTAATCTCCCTACGCGTCCGCTTATTTTGACACATTAAGGTGTAAAAAGATAAAAAAATAAATAATGGAAAGGCAATTCCGATGCACAGAAAAAATAAATAGCGATATTCTATTAGTCAAAATATACAAGATCTTATGGGAGGACCTGCAAGCTTAAGGAATTAATACTTTGTAAAAGTACCATAAACTATATTTAAATCAAAACGTACAAGATAATAAAAAAGACGAAATGAAGCATGGGTCTTGTCAAGACCTAGAAAAAATCTTTTAGCGAAAAAAATTATTAAAAACAGACCTGGAAAGAGCCGTCTTCCTTGGTAACGAGGAAACTCGAAAAGGGTGGGCAAACCCTCGAGCGTTTATTTAATTACTAAATCAAAGTCATGATTCTCAACCATGAAATGTTATGTGGGTTCTTGTCTTGAGCAAAATTTAATGAAACATTAATACATATACAACATCGTTCATCTATTAATACTTATAAAACTTCTTAATATGACATTGTTCTTCTGTTAACGCATATATAACATTATCCATCTATTAACACATATATAATATCGTTCACGTCCCTTTCATAAAACAAAGTAAAGTTGCGAAAGTTCTATCAATTTCACCCGTAAGCAGCTAAAAATTAGACAGCGCGTGAGGAAAAATGTTGGGCTATGGAGTTAGAATCCGACATTCGGCCTTCCTGCTATGCGTCAACCTCGACGACATTATTCTACTCTTGACATCATAAATCATTGGTCATCTTACATCATCGGAACCATCATTATGAATAAACTGAAACCTGAAAAAAAAATACGAAGGGAGAGGGGGCGATTGTATGCTAAGGGCAATATTGAAAGAAAACATCTAAATTATCCTTCACATTTGCAACAGTAGCATCGTCAACCGTCCCTTCTCTCTCTTTTTTTCTTTTTTAAACTCATCATCTAAAATGAAAAACTCTTAATTTTAACATTTTTGGAAAACTTCATTTCATCTTAGTTTTGATGACATTCGGTTTGATATGGTCATTAATTTAGACACTGGTCCAGACCACCACTCCTCTTTCTTTAAATCAGACACTCTTTCACGACTTAAAAAAATAATTTCGAATGTTATACTTTCTCTAAGCGGTAAACCGTTTTTCCTACGAGTAAATTTCAGGAATAAAGGGAGATTCATCTGAGAAGAGAATATTCCTTCATTTGTTTCGTCTCCATCTGAAGAGCTCTTGTGCTACTTCTGCAAACACCATGTTGACCTGCTGTAAAGAAACGCAACACAAAGACCTGCAAACACTCAAAACAATACTATGGAATTGATGTTGAAAAATGTGAGATGAAACACTCCCAGAAGCCAACATAAGGTGCAGTTGCAAAAGAGTGGCGTACATACTGCGGTTCCTTCTGATGGTTAATATTAAATACTCATCCTCATTTTGCGTTGATGCAAGGTTTTCGCCTGATATATCCATTTCTAAACACTGGTTCCATAGGCTGAAAATGGCACTTTAGGGCACTTCAGAGCTTCCGCTGGAACAAGATGCATCTGGCTTGCTTCTAAACGACCCATGGGGGGCCCACCAGCGGCCGAGCGGTAAATTCGCTGAACACTGGTAGTTCGGTCCGAGGTTTGAATCCCGCGAACGGGCTGGCTGCATGGATGTTTTCGTGGTTTTCCCCATGTGTAACGTGTATACAAGCCAGTTTTCCTTAGAAAGTCCTCCACGAAGGCATCCATCTCCTTAGGCAGATAGCCCTCGAGGCTTTGCCGTAATTGATTACCTAACCTAAACGACTCATGGACCTTCAGTCTACCAGTTCGGCTATATCATGCTACTGAGACATGCTACTCATCGAAATGCTGCGTTCGTCGTACGTCAGTTATTTCTAGTTTTCACTCCTTACTGGAAACGCGTAATTTTCGATGTCACAGACAATTTTTTCATATTCCAAAACTTTGCAAATAGGATAATTTTTCTTTTCAACCTCTTTCTACACTTTTTTAAAAAACTAATTGATCACATGTTTGGTGCAGTGTACTTGAGAAATTTTGCTATAAATTACAATCAGAATGAAGGCATAAGTGTTAAAAAGGATTTTTTCCAAAATGAAAAATGTCCAAGAGGTAAATTTAGCAGCATCCAAAGATTTCATCTTTTGAAATTTAGAAGCATATAGAATTAAAATGGGTTTTCAATAAACCTGAAACCAGTGATTCGTCCATTTTATTTAATTTGCGGAATGAAAAGAAATGGATAAATTCTTCAAATGCAAAATAACTCCCATATAACAATAAAAGGATGAAAACAACATTTTTATGCATCATTTACATTAGCATACATTAAATGTGGTTCTTTCATAATTTTATGTTATATTTAATATAGCATGCGTAGAGGAGCAAGTTTAAGTTTAGGGAGTTATGTAGTGTTATTTTATTAAATAACTAGTTATGACAAGAGAATCTATATGAACATCATCATTCACATTTTGATGCATAACAATGACATACATAGGAAAGTGCTAATTAAATATGCATCATTTACGAATAAAAATGTAACTCTTAATGCTGAATTGATATCATTTTAATTTTAAAATTACTAATTTTAGGTTAACAAACATGCATTTAGAAGGTTGGAGAGCAAAACTCGCCGTGTGGGTCATCAAATTTCTTGTTCTTGTTTACGATATCCTGTCGTTTCCTATTTATTTTTTTACTGATAAACCTTGGAACAGATGGAAGTTGGAGAAAATTATTTGGGTGAGTGAAAAATTTCTTTCTGATACTATTATTCTTTCTTCAATTTTTGTATTTCTTATTTAGCTCATACCTATAACTCTGCAAAATGAAGGTGCAAGGGAATGAGCAGTTACATAAAGCAACTGATCTTCCCGAACTTTCATAAATATTTTGGAATCTTGAATAGAATTATTTTATGATGATTATATGTTGAGTGACAGAGTGACGAAGGTTCCGAAGGTATGGCTCAGTTATGAGCATTTAAACATCAGTTATGTAATAGCAGCTAGCCAAAGTACCAGATATTCAGAAAAGTGGTGAATGGTATATGTATCCAGTGGCACCCCATATCATCAGTTCAGGTTCTAGTCTGGTATGGCGAAGACAAATACAGATTTCTGACATTCGTTCCCTTCGGTGCCTGTACAGACGGATGCAGCAGTTCTGATGTAAGCGGAAACCAAATTTGTCAGAAAAGACGCCGTTGCGTCACTGATACGTCCACGTGGGTTATTGAACACAGTTCAGGTTGTGACTCCTTCGCTTCAGATCAACGGGAACTGAAATGACGCTTCTCATGCTGACAGTCCGTAGCACAAAGCGATGCAGACTTAGGCAGTGGTGAGCGGATGACATTGAAATCACGCAATTTGCTTTGTATGGCCTTCTTGTATCCATCGATTGCAAATTCTCATAACAGTCATTGAATCTCGACCGACGCTAGATGCCACTGCGCTGTACGATAATCAAAATCTCGTTAGGTTACAATCTCCCGCGATCGATTTCTGAGACGTGCTAATATGAATCTGTTCTTCTTGCACGACGGGTAACAAGAGTTCCAACACACGCACACAAAAAAGTGTGCACGCGATTTCAGAATGAAATATTAGTATTCCAACCTGCCTTTTTATAGTGTTACGAGATGTTATTACTCTTGCCCGAAATGTAGGCTTGACATGGAATGCATATCATTTGCATATTTCAGCATGTTTTACCAAATGTCAGCTTTAGTGTACTTTTCCTTCATGGTATAAAAATTTCAATGGTCAGCTTACGTTACTGCATCAAAAGAGTAAAACGAACATGGTAGTGAATTTCTGTCACTGTTTTCTGCCGTCCAGCCAACATAATGGTAACCGGAAGCTGACTGCCGTACCGATGATAGCGTGTTCGAATCCGGAAGGAGGCATGGATGTTTCTAAGCGCATAGTGTATGTGAGGTGAGAGGGCACTCAAAATACACGGCAAGTTGAAAGTTTTTCTGACATTCTGGTGGTAGAGAAGAAAATGTGGGGGGACCCTCGGAACGCCTCTGGGTTGTTTTCCTTCAAAGTTTGACCGGAAACATTACAGCTAGCAAAACTCAATTTTGCCTAATATATATATCTACAGTAATGGCCTTTCTTCAGACTGTACTTGTCAAAATTTTCGGTTTAACTAAAAAAGTATAATAAAAAAAAAGGACAACACATCTCTGAGGAATCAGATAAAATAATCAGATAAGCCCATAATATACATTTTGCGAAAAATAACAACAAAGATTAATTTGTGAAATGTCAGGTTTAAAATTTTTAAACAAATAAAAGGCCTCTGAGAAAGAGAGATTTTAGAACTTGGTTTTCAAAATTGTCAGCAGTTAACAGAACTGCATTATTATTTATAAAAATAAATAAGCTTAGGTGTAGTGTTGTCTTATCTTTGAATTCAGAAAAAAAAATATACACTATTTAACAAAGAAAATGCCATATTGTGAAGAATAAAACTCACTCCCACGCAAATTTCTGAGAGAGTGCACACGTGCAAATTATGAAAATAAATTCATTTGCGGGATAGTCAGACAGTTAGCAGGAAGGATATAGGCATTAAACAACACGCTTTGGCTGATGGTGGGAATTGGAGACAATAGTCCCAAGAAGGAAGTGTATAACACCGTAAAAGGTCCAAAATAAGTAAACCGACGTTAAAGCTCACTAATCATCCCATAAAACGTCACATCATATTTGAACCATGACCTATAAATGGAGACATTTTGTCAACTGTATAAGATGTTTCTGCCGCTCCAGTATCGGAGCGGACAGATTCGACGAGATTGGCTGATACAGGCTTGGAGTGCAACCATCATTTACAAAGGCTTTTATCAATGAGACGCCGTCATAAATGGCTGCAATGATGCCACAGCAGAGTTACATTGGGTTCCAAATAGGATAATGCAGTCTTTAGCGATAAATCTCGTTCTGACTCATATATGATGAGAGGTGTTTAAAGACACCGAACATATGCGCTAACATTTTCGAGCGATACACGGCCTGTGAAAATGGAATTGTGGTTTAGAGTGTCGTTATGGCTAACTGCCATTCATCTGAATCCCGCATTACAGGTGTATATTTATACAGGTATACCGCATTACAGGTATATATCCCGCATTACAGGTATATAAATATAATAATATTTGTTGCTCCTGCTCCGCCTATTCGAGACTGCACCGACCTGCCCAACTCTATAGCCCCATGTTAGGCAGGGTTGGGTTGCCAATCGAAGTCTCACAAGCGATAGATGTATGCCAATCCCGTGATGGCAGGCTTTAAAGTTTTACTCTTAAACAACCGTTATCCTAACGGCGCGGGGTCACCACTCCCAGTTTCCAAGGACCATGGTTGTGGGAAACATAAACACCTGAAGATTTGACGAGTCATTAAGATGGGTACAGCTAAAAACATCGCGGAGAAAAAAAGCAAGGCAAAAACGTTAAGCTACAAAACATCGTAGGAGAAAAGAAAGCAAACAGGAAACATTGCAGTTCTAAAACATCGTTCTAAAACATTGCACCATCGTTCTAAACATCGTTCTAAATCATAGTTTGGTTAACTGCCAATACTACTTGGGCTGCTTTCACAGGGGGTTTGTACAGAATACGGATTTAACAGACCAACCGCTATATGGCTATTAGTACCCCAGATATGAGATTTAAAGCCACTAGATCTGTGAAGAGTTGGGATGCCCCAAAGGCTCGTTATTTTTATGCCCGGTATTGAGACTTTCAAGGTACAGATCCTAGCCAGTACAACAAATGACTGCCGGGGGTCACCATTAGAGGTATTGTAAATGTATTTGAATACATGTTCCGCTTCTTTAAATCAAGCACTGTATGGACTGGACCTAACTGAGAACCGCCATATTTGACGTGATGCAAGTCATTCAGTTAAACGTCCCCGAGAGATAGGCAATATGGCAATCATACTACCCTTAGGTCTCCTCAAACTTGAGACGGCAGACTTTAAAAGATTTTTTCTCAGCCCACTCCTGAACTAGGGTCAGCATTCTCGGTGTGCAGAGCTGATGCGGGCTATGAAAGCCTGGAAGTCTGACTGGTCTTCAAATTGCTCTTGCTAGTACGACGTGGTTTAGGACTCGTATTCTGTGGACGAACAGTGGAGTTTTATACACTTCTCTCCTCAGCAAAGTCTCCATCATTTCCTCTTATCGACTAACCGCCAGGCGGAGTGTAGATTGATTAGGTCTCTCCACACAGGTTCTGAGTCTTTTTTGCCAAACCCCCACTGTCCCACCGAATGAAACGATCATCCCTTGGACTCTGGAGCCTCCAAGCTCCTGTGTTCCCAGAGTCGCTACTGCCATAGTAAAAGTAAAATACGAAGCCACTACCAGTGTATGCAACTCCAGGGATGCATTATAGGCAACTAGCAATATATGGGCACTCTTGTTTCCGTCTCATGGCACTAAGAGTCCCCTCATCCCGCAGAACCAGGCACAGGAGTTCAACCCCTGCCCTCGCACCTTGGAGAGAGGGACGCATGGCTTAAGCGACACTGATCGTTGTTTATGATTCGCTACCTGCCAGTCGCTCGGGCTGCCCGTCGCAGAGGGACGTTACCCTGGACGCTACTCCTGGACTACTAAAGCCATCTGCTCTAGGACGTGCCAGGTTCAGGGGCCGGCCAGTAAGTGACTTTTCCGGGGACTCTAGAACCACTACGTTCGTAATTTGTATACCCCCGTAGCCGAGACTTCCTAGGTACAGATCCTAGCCAGTAGCTCTACGTCACCCCACCTGGGAGGGAGAGCATTACAGGTAAGGATAATGGATGCTGCAGCATTGATAATGAGTTTCTTCCGTACCTTCAGAGTAACCCCAATGTCATTCAGCATGCTAACGAACTTGCACACTGCTCTTCTCACCTAAATGCATTGCAAAGTGGGAAAGTGCTCCTTTGCCAGTGTAATTTTCCCCTCTTTTGCCAATAGAGCCTTTCAGACATAACTGTGTGTCGGTTGGATAATTTCCCTCCTCCACGTGATGAACTGTGAGGTCAAATCAATAATCCGTGGTGCACTATACCACAGGCTGTGATTCAGACACTCATTGTTTTAATGCAATGAAGCGTTTAAGAATGTATTGCCTCAGATGGAATTGTAGCATGTCAGTAAGAGCCTCATGTTGGAATTCAGGAAAGTTCGAAAGCCGCAACTAGCTTTTCCAAAAGTCACAAGTGAATATTTACATCATTTTAAAAGCCAAATGAAAAGTTTAAAGTTAAGTTTCAAATGGAAAGAAACTAAGCAATCATCCAATGACATTTTGCCTTCAGCATGTCATGTTGTGTCGAAGACAATACAAAATTTTGTGGTATCTTTGTTTTCCCTAATTACAGCTTGTTGAAGTAAAAAGTATTTTTTTCAGGCTTGAAATATACTCCGATTCTTCAGCGATACATTCTTGTAAATGTTCAACTACCACAGGTTGTAATGCTCATGAAACTTCGAATTCTTAAATCTGCGCCACAGCGACTGAAATATTTTTTCTGTGACCTCAAAATTATCTTAGAATTCACCTGCATGCTCGTACCATGGCAAGCAAGTTGTATATTTGCTACGGATTCTCAGAAGTTTCTGAATTTAATATTATTTTCTATGCAGTGGCTGTCATCATGTTTACTAGAAATTCGCAAAGCTTTCAACTGCCATAAATTTCTACTCAGTTCTGGCGTCGCATCACATCTGAATTATTTTTAACTTGTATCAAATTCTGTATGATATTAAATGTTTCTGATGATTTAAATGCGTTTTCTGTTCCGCTCAAAAACCACACCAATTAATTTTCTACCACTACTAATGAATCAGAAATTCGATTCATTAGTAGTGGCAGACTCTTCCTGTAAAGCATCCACCAGCATCCATACATCCATGCATAAAGCATCCACAAGCAATTCTAATTTTTAAAGATTTGCTTTACAAAATTGTTTGATAGAATCAGTACAATATTATTTATTTATTTATTTTATGTTTTTGAATAACAATGTTAAGTTTCTTAATCAACAAGTATCAAAATAAAGTAATTACATTTGGACATTGATCAATTTAATTTTACTAATACTTAAAAATATGAAATAAATTATTTACTTTCTGTTGGACATTCAGCAATTTTAGTTTTCCATAGTTTACCATACTTTATATGCATAAGAGCTGCACCACTAGCCTAAAAGAGCCGCATGCTGCTCTCGAGCTGCGGCAACGTTACACCTGATACATATCTTAGAGTCTCACTTTTGTGTATCTCTGAAAATGAACTCATTTGTTAAATACTTGATTATCGATTTATGTAAAAAGTTTGTGCTGTTTCCAATCATTCGCTCATTCTGAGATATTTTTTGTCAGGCAGCGTAGCTGCAGAATTAAAAAAAAAAAAAAAAATTTTAAGCTATTTAAATAAAAAAAATATTTTTCGTGTTTATGAATTAAATACACATCTTTAGTTTCTCATGAAACATAAAATATTTTAACTGATCTTTTTCACATTTTTAAACACGCATAAATCTGCCAGATTTTGTGTTTCGAAACTGCACGAATTTCTCGCACCCCGCAGCGCTGCAATTCACTGAGAGGTGCAGTTTAGGAGATAGTCACGCCACCTGGAAGAGAAGCAAAACTCATTTGTCTTACTAATCTTCCACTGGGATATAATGCTACATAATTTGTGCCGCATCGTAAAATAATTATGTTTATTTTACGTTTATGTTTAATTTTCAGGTAGTTCGACTTGAGTAATCATTTTACCATTAGTTGTAGGGAAATAGCCCATTAGTTGTGAGGAAATAGCCCATTAGTTGTGGGGAAATAGCCCATTAGTTGTGGGGAAATAGTCTTTTTGCTGTAATTCATGCTCCTTTCGATAGCCAGCGAAGCCGGATTCTAACTATATTCTACTAGTTGTCAGACAACCTGGAGTTTGATACATACAAACCTGATGGAAGGAAAAATTCCGAGCTTTAATTTTTGCACAGTATTTTTCTGTTATTCAGGTTTGCAATTCGATTTTCTGTCTTAATGCGATAGGAAACTAACCTGCAGCTACATATGAAACAATTCTCTTAACCTGTCGGTCAGTTATATTTATTACCCATTAAACTCTTGCTTTTGGAAAGGGGGTATTTTTCCTGGTGATCTATCGGAAAAGAAATTTCGGTAATTTTCTAATCATTAATAAGAAATTTAATTTTTCAAAAGTGAAGTATTTTGCTTACAATAATTGCAATTTTAAAAGACAATCAATATTTAAATGACTTTAACATTGCATAAATTTATAATTTAATTGCTTTATATAAAACTAGGAAATGGTTTTTATCATTTACAGTCAAAATTAGAGGATGATCTTGATCCTTATAGCTGCTATATTCGTCAAACATACAATCCTCAAACGGCTGAAGAGAATGGAGTAGAAACAATGGGCGAATTGTTTGAAAGAGCTGTTGCAAAATATAGCAGAAAGAACTGTTATGGTGTCAGAGAAGTTTTAGGAGAAGAAGAAGAACAACTGAAATCTGGAAAGCTCTTTAGAAAGGTAAGTTTTAGTATATTTCTTTTACGGAGGAAAGTTGTGAAATATCAAGATACTGATTTATACGCGTGCCCCATGAAATTCTCTTGCGGCCATTATTTATTGCTTCTAGACATATACATGGAATGGCAAATATGCTTTAAATAAGGAAACTATTTTTATGTTATATCATTTTTAGATTTAAAAAGTCAGTTTCGTTAACTATGAAATTTATCTTTTACGCTGTTTAAAATTTTCCTACATCCTTGAAAAAAAAAAAAAAAAAAAAAAATCAAATACCAAACGTTTGACCCCTATAAGGCAAAAATTGACAGAAATATTTAATTTTAAAATTTGAGGTTATACTTTCTGCAAATTTAAGAGTCATAAACACATAAACTAAATATTGAAATATTTTAAATTTCTTCGTAACTAAGAAGAAGTATCAATTTAAAAAAAAGTTTTTGGTAATTTTTTTCTAATCGTGGGCTCTAGACATTTATAGGCACTAGTCAGGTTACCGCGATTACTAATAGATTAATTCGTTACTAACAGATCGTTGCTAATAGATTAAATTTCGCTGAGCCACTTAATGGTTGCAAATTAGAAAGAGTCGGAATTCTTGAATTCCGGGGCCGCCACAAAGTAAAGAACATTCCTATATGGATTATAATGAAAGGTCTTTGATCAATATATTTTAAAACACAGTCCTATTTATGGAATATTATAAAATATGTGTTTTAGAAAACATTGGCAAGCTTCAATATTGGAGGCACATTGTAGGGTTTATATTTATTTTAACTAACATTTATTTTAAGTTTAAACTATCTTTCCTGTCAATCCGTACTTTCCCCTGGAACTGCCAATGCCAGAATATGTAAATTTGAGTAGAACGCGCAAGCATTCAAATTATCAGCGGAAGTAGTATGATTTAAATAGAAGGAAACAAGTTCGGTGAGAGAGAGTTATTCTTACTTCGCGAGCGCGGAGGTAGAAATCGAGAATTAAAGAACCCCGCGTTGCGGCCTATGTGCTTGGCGGGAAGTAGTTGCAATTGTTCCAGTGAGCTTCAAGTCTGCTGAATTAGCTGCGGCTTTTGTAAAACGCGGTGAGTTAGTTATTTTAGAGAGCCTCGTAGTTAGAATATTGTCTTTATTTTCTTTTTTTCTTTTCAGGTTTTATTATTTTATTTTTGACTGCCTAGTTGGCACAGTTTGTAAGCGTCAAGAGGACGCAATTGTAATTTAGTACGTTGAATAAAAAGGGACTTAAACCCTTTATAAGACTCTGTGGTTTATACAAGCTTTCACAGTCACCTCTTGGTTGCGTGCTAGTTAGAGGCGCGCAACGTTATACTGGCGCCCGAACACTTATCGAACTGAAATGGCCGAAAATTGGATGGAAGCCGCTGGACAACACGAAGAAATGACAACGCAGTTAGAAGGATTTGGATACCTGGTCCAGACTTTGAGAGCATCAATCAAGCCAAACGTCTATTTCGACGGAAAAAATTCGGTGGCGGTATTTCTCGAAGGTATAGAAAACCACTTTCAGCTCTACCCTGTGCCTGAAAGACAAAAAAGTTGCCATCGCCACATCAGCACTAAGAGGACAGGCCGCGCTATGGTGGAAAAATATAGGCAAATTTCTTCTAGGTGAATTTGGAAGCCCGACGTATACATTTGAAAATTTCAAAAAAATCGTTAGTAAAGGCCTTCCCCATAGTGAAAGATCGCGCACGGCTGGAAGCCGAGCTATATAGTTTCTATCAACGGGATACAGCACAATTGACGGACTTTATTTTACGAAAAATCAAGCTAACGGATATGCTGTATGGCAAGAAACCCGATGCGGAGATTATTGAAATAATATTACCAAGATTGTTACCCCCGCTGTTCAAGACTACTTTGAAATTAGAAACCCAACCACATTGCAGGAACTTTTCTTCGAATTGGCGGTGAAATTTCAAAATCGCAGAAATAGCGGAAAGAGCGAGAGGGGAAACATATTCTCAAAGTACCAGAAGGAAGGAGAAACCAGAAATGGAAATCGCTCATATGGGGGAAAGAACTATCAAGCTAACGCATCGAAACTCGAAGGTCAAGGCCCAAAAAGAAAATTTGAAAATAAGCATCCGCGTACCCAGAAGACACAGATTGAAAGGAAAGCTTTAAACGACTAGAGGGGCCTGTGAAAGGGAGGGTCCAGACCCCCGGAAGTTTTAGAAAAACCCTCAATTAGACATCTAAATACAGTCATCGTAAAAAACTCACAGCTACCCAATTATACAAGTCCTGGTTGGCGATGTACCAGTAGAAGCCCTCATCGATACAGGGGCAGAAGAAAATTTCATGAGTGAAAAGTTCTTCAAAAAGAATTTTTTATAGGATACGACTATTCAAAACCAGAAATACGGAAATTATAGCGGCGCCAAGGAAAAACAAAACATGTCACTGCATCGGGAAAGTATCATTAAACTTACAGATAAAAGAGGAAAATCTCAAAGTATTAATTTTTGTGGTGAAATACCTGCAACACTCTCTTATTTTAGGTATGGACTTTTTAAGGGCCGCGAGGGCCAAATTAAATTTTCAAGATAGTTCCGTGGTGCTGGAGATGGACCAGAGGGTGGTGGAACCGGTGGAGACACCTGAATTGGACCTTAGCCATTTGAATGACCAGGAAAGTAAAGCAATACAGCAAGTGGTGAGTAATTTTTCTCATTTGTTTTCAGAAAAACCGGGAAACTGTCAGATCGTGACTCACAAGATTCAATTAAATGCCGAAAAAACCTTGTAGGACTAAACCTTACCTACCGCTATGATAAACAAAAAAGACCTAATCATCGAAGAACATATTCAGGAGATGTTAAAGAATAAAATAAAAAACGCCCATAAAATAGTGAATACGCGAGTCCAGTTGTACTATGTAGGAAAAGAACGAGTTTCCTCCTCCTCGGATAAAAGGGGCTTGGAGGTTTGCTATCGATTATAGAAAACTAAATAGCATAACTAAATTTCCAGTTTACCCTTTGCCGGTTATAGACGAGATCATTAGACAGATCAAATCGACGAGATATATGTCTACTTTGGACTTAACGTCTGGCTACTATCAAATAGCTATGAGACCCGAAGATATACATAAAACCGCGTTTATAACAAAGTCGGGCACTTATGCATTTTTACGCATGCCTTTTGGGTTGTGTGGGGCCCCATCAACATTCCAGAGAGCTATGGACATTGTTCTACAGCCTGTCCTAGGAAAATCAACTTTAATTTATCTAGATGATATAATTATAACGAGTAATACGTTGGAACAACACATTAATGACCTCGAACAAGTTTTTAAATTATTAAAGAATTAAAAGAGGCCGGTCTTACAATTAACGCCTCAAAATGCAAGTTCGCAACTAAAGAACTTAAATATCTCGGTTATAAAATTTCGCAAAAGGGTTATAGAAACGCAAGATTCAAAAATAAAAGCTATTAAGAATTTCCCACCCCGCCCAACACCGCCAAGAAAGAAACTTTCGTCTTTCCTTGGACTATGTTCTTACTATCGATCTTTTTCATAAAAGATTTCGCTAATATTGTTGAACCACTCTTAGTAATCAAAAGAAAAAAAAGAGTAAATTTACGTGGACAGCGGAAGCGAACACAGCTTTTTTGAAAGATTAAAAGAAGCGCTTATTAATGCCCCTGTTTTAAAATTCCCTGAGGGGGACGAAAACCTGGAAATTGCGGCAGATGCATCAGACTATGCGGTGGGTGCGGTTCTTATGCAAAATAACCATCCGCTGGCATTTTTTAGTAAAACATTGAATCAAACACAAAGGAATTATACAGCTACAGAAAGAGAAACATTAGCCGTATTAATGGCTGTACACAAATTTCGAGTTTATTTCGGCAAATCGCCAGTAACAGTCTTTTCGGATCATGCATGCGGCTGTTGGTAGACTTTACTCGGGAAAAAACCTAATGCCCCAGGTTAATAAGATGGGCTTTAAAACTCCAAGAATATAATATCACAATAAAATATAAAACCGGGTAAGGAAAACAATGTAGCTGACGCACTTTCTCGTATAAAACTGGACGATGAAGGTAAATGAACTTAAATGGCGCTGTGTTGACTTCAAAAAAATTTTAGATTCTAGAGATACGGTTATTACTACTGAACTGAAAGCTGATCCTGAATTTGGAAAATATCTATGCTTATTTTGAAAGACCCCGAAAGCTTTGAGCATACAGATATCGATGCGATAAGAAAATAGAGCAAAAAAACTATGAAATAATAGATAATTTATTATTCTATACGAAAACAACAAACGAAAATCTTGAGTATAAGCCAGTCATCCCAGCCTCGCTTCGATTAAGCATTTTGAAGGAGTTGCACGAAAAAAAAAACAGCGGGCCACCTCGGGGTCAGAAAGACTTTAAAAAGGGTACGCGAGGCGGTATATTTCCCGCAATTATACAAAATAGTAACGGCGTATGTCAGGTCCTGCAATCAATGTCAGTTAATAAATGATATTAATTACAGCCCGGCCGGGGTACTTAAATAGCATTCGCGCTACATTTCCGAATGAAATTTTAGGCATAGATCTCCTTGGTCCCTTCCCCCCAGAGCGAGTTAAATAAAAATAAAAATCGTTTTCTTTTAGTAATAGTAGATCATTTTTCAAAATGGATAGAAATTGTTCCACTTAAACGCGCGTCAGCCAAAACAGTCGCAGATGCATTCTTACACAGATACATTTAAATTAAAATACGGTGCACCGATAAAAGTCATTAGCGATAACGGAAAACAATTCATTAGTCAAATATTTGAAAACATATGCAATGGACTTGATATACGCCATATCAAAATGGTTCCGTATAGACCACAGGCTAACATAGCAGAAAGAGTTAATAAAAACATTGCAAAAATAATTCGCAGTTACGTTAGCACACATCACAAGCGCTGGGATGGCTACATAAATGAATTAGCTTATGCTTTAAGAACGGCACATCATGATACTACGGGAA